GGCAACGACATGGGGTGACACAGCTGTGACGGTGACACGTGGTGGCACAGCAGTGCGACTGCCATAGGGTTGTACAGCTGTGACGGTGCCACGGGGTGACCCTGTCCCTGCTGCTGGCTCCTCTCCAGCCAGTGCCCCAGCGCAGTGGCAGGGCCGGTGCATGGCAGCACAGGGTTGTGTCCCCGGGGTGCGTGGCAGGGTGCGTGGCAGCAGGGGACACAACCCCACTACCAGAGCCCTGCACCGCTGACACCCACCCAAGCCCCCTGTGCTCGTCCTCCCTGGCCCGGACGGTGGCTCCGGCTTGCCACCACTCCCAGCCGTGGGGTGTTTGTGCACTGGTGTTTCCCCATGGCAGGGCTGCCTCCTGCCCCCTCCTCCTGCCGCTCCCACATTTTGTGGACCCCCGCAGCGCTGGGCTCACCGGAGCTGAAAGTGGCACCGCATGGCCCCAGGCCCGGACACTGTACACACAGCTGGAGGCTGCATGCAGCCAAACTGTCCTGGCTCAACGCTGGCCGGGATAGGACACGTCCCTGCGAAAGGGTGAACGTCCCCAGGGGCAGGCGGGAGGGCTGGGGGGAATGTGCTGCCGCAGTTGCATCACCCCCCCGTGGCCCCGGCATGCAGGGGGCCAGGGAGGTTTTGCTGTGGGGTTAGCAGGCTTCCGAGCCACAGAGCCTCGTACACTTGCACGCTTGCACTCCTGCACGCTCACCACCCTCCACGTTTAACACTGCTGTGCCACAGCCAGGACTGCAAAGGACCCCGTGACATGGCCCCGGAAAGCCACCCGCAGGATAATGCTGGCAGTTCCCAGCCCAAACCAAACACATCTCTGGGTTGCAAACGCTTCGGGTTGGGGGTGGGAGAAGGTGGAGCCGAGGAGGAGCTTCCCCCGTCCCGCCACTATATTAAATGCCCTGGTGGACTCCCACTCTCTTTGCCGCTGTCACATCGCCAGGTCACAAAAATGGTGAGGGGCAGCGGATGGGAATTAAATTGAATGGCCGGGGCTCGATGGCACGGGACGTCTCAGGAGCTTTACCGGGTTTAATCTCTGCTTGAATTTGGACTTTTCAGTGACTGTGCTGGAAGTCGTACAGAAGAGCTGTTCCTCATACAGACCTTTGGATTTGAGCTCTCTGGGGGCTGAGGTACCTTCCTGAACTGCTAACATCTCTCTTTTCTGATTCTCTCTTTTAGACATCTTACACAGACAAGGGAGAAAAGGTAAGAGCCGTTTCGTGTCCACGGTCCTGGCCCATTGCCTGATGTGAAACATCAGCCGTGCTAATGCAAATAATATTAATTCCTTACTCCTTGATTACCTGGTAAAATCAGAAATAAAACTGCTCTCTGGCTGGGCCACACAGGACGTGGTTCCTCGTTGTAAATCACCACTAATGATGGAAATTTTTTCATTTCCTTTTTCTTTCTGGTTTGGGAGGAGAGCGACAAATGGGACACGATGGGTATTTCCCAGTCAACCCTGATGCCTAAGCAGAATCCTCATTTGTTGCAACATTTATTTCCAAATGCTGCACCTATTCGCCACCTTTTTCTCCCATAAAGTGCTCTCAAAGCTGCCGGTGCTCATGGTGGCCGGGTGCCTGACGCCGCAGGCTGGGCGGGAGCGTGCCTGGGTCCAGCCAGCCCCGGCGGGACGGCGGTGGGGAACAGAGCGAAGGGGGATTTGTCCCGGCACTGGCAGTTGTGTAAGAGTGTTTGAGGGAGGATTAATCTTTAACACAACAAGGTTCGCGGGCGGGTGTCGTGCTCTGGCCACCGTGCCTGGACAGCCCCGGCACTGGGGGGGCTGCTTGCGGGGAGCACTGGGAACACCAGGGCCGACGTGGCCCCAGGCAAGCAGGGGCTTTGCACCTTCCACCCTGCAGAGCAGGATCCTGCGGCACCTGACTGTAAAGCACTTTGGAAAATCGCTGTTTCGGGCAGCAGCTGGGGTTTCACATGGTTAATTCAGATGCATTCGCAGGAGAGGCATTTGCAGGGTCGCAGCCATCGCTTCTCCCTGCTCCAGAATCGAGCAGTGCTGCGGGAAAGGCTGCAGCGGTGGCTCTCAGCCCTGTTTTCCCCTTCCCTTTAGCCCCTGCGAGGCCGCTTCATCCATTTCCACTCCATCACTTTCTGGGTCGGCAATGCCAAGCAGGTGAGAGGCTGCGGCCAGCCGGGTAGGCACCCACCGTGCCGGGACAGGGTGGCCGCTCTGGTTATTGGTTGTTGGGGGAGGTGGTTCGTCCCCGCAGCCCACCGGGTTGGGGCCACGCCGGCATCCCAAAGCCTGTCCCTGGCTCAGAGCCTGTGCCCACCGGCATGACCTCGGTAGATGGCCTTGGGGACCCTTGCGCAAGGTGAGGGGCGGCTGCCTGGGGGTGTGCACAGGAGGAGCCCGGAAAATGCAAACCGGCACGAGGCAGGGCTCGAGCCGTGGTCACCGGCCTGCAGAGCAATAGGGCATCATGGTAGCTGCTCTCCATCACTCGCTGCTAAAAGGCCGCTGGCGAGTTAAAAATCCCTCTGCTTCAACCCTGAGCTGCTTTTCGCGCAACCTCGCAGATGAACAGGAGACAGGCAAAAACGTTTCCCCCTCGGCAGCGGCTCCCTGCCTGCTGCCCTGCTGTGCACCAGCCCTGCGTCCACTGTGCCCTGCCTGTCCCTGGCTGCACTGGGTGCGGAAGGGCTCTGGAGGCAGCACTTCCCACTGAGTTTGGGGTTTTTTTCCCCAATATGGGCCCTTTCTTTCCTCTGCTTGCTCCTGCGGGCTGCTGGAGGGAAGCAGAAAAGCTCGGCTGCTCCCTGCACACGCACACACACGTGCACACGCTGCGGTGGCCGTTCCCCATGGGCTGTTGGCGCTGCCCTGGCTGGGGGGAGCCCTGCGGGAACCGGGGGCCACCAGCACCGCGGCTTCACCCGGGGCGGCTCTCGCGTGCCCGCAGGCTGCATCCTACTACTGCAACAAGCTGGGGTTCGAGGAGCTGGCGTACCGGGGCCTGGAGACTGGCAGCAGGGAGGTGGTCTCACATGCCATCAAGCAGGACAAGGTAAGGGGGCTGAAGCACCTTGCAGAGGTGCCACCGCCAGGGTGGAGGTCGGGGGAAGACAAGGCGGTGTCGGGCATGCAGGTGCTGCCGAAATCTGTTTGCACCATTAAACCCTGCGCCTGCAGTGCATCTGCCCCAGCCTGGGGGCACTGCCACATCTCCATCCCTCACCTGTCCTCCTCTTCCTTGCCAGATCGTGTTTGTTCTCTCATCCGCTCTCAACCCGGGGAATGAGGGTAGGTACCACGGGGGTCCGTGGGGGGAGATGGTGTGGGAAAGGGCCACGGCGGAGCAAAGCACCTCTGCTCATGCCCACGGCTGCTTTTGCTCTGGGCAGAGATGGGGGAGCACCTGGTGAAGCACGGTGATGGGGTGAAGGACATTGCCTTTGAAGTGGAGGACTGTGACTTCATCGTGCAGGTAGGCAGCCCCTCTGCTCCCTCCTGCACGGCACCCTGAAATGGCAAGGGGAGGTGGGGAAGGGCCTAGGGACATCTCCCCCCAGCCCAGGGGAGCTGCGGCAGGAGGGGGTCTCTTTCCTTCTGCCCAGAAAGCCAAGGAGCGCGGAGCCGTGGTGGTGAAGGAACCCTGGGTGGAGGAGGACAAATTCGGGAAGGTGAAGTTTGCAGTGATCCAGACGGTAAGAGGCAGGGCAGCTGCGGAGGCTGAGCCCCCGCGCTGGAGCAGGGTCCGCGGAAGCAGGCTGGATCTGGGAGGTCCCTGAAAAAACAGGGCCAGCACGCAACCGCTTTCCCCCCTCTCGCAGTACGGTGACACCACCCACACCTTGATAGAAAAGCTCAACTACAAGGGCCTCTTTCTACCTGGGTACCACCCACCCCTCTTCAAGGACCCCCTGCTGCCGAAGCTGTGAGTACTTTCCAGAGGGTCTTGCCTGGCTCTTTCCCACCGTGTGCCGGTGGGATATCCCACTGAGGAACAGGACAGGTCCCTGCTGCCTCGCCCCGGAGCCCCCCCACGCCGTGGGGTGCCCCCGAGCCCAGCTGAGAGCCACCCCTGGCTTCCCCCCACAGATCGAGCGCCAAGCTCAACTTCATCGACCACGTCGTGGGGAACCAGCCCGACCTCCAGATGGTCCCAGTGGCGGACTGGTAAGAGTGGGGAGGGCTGGCAGGAGGTGGGATGGAGCAGCAGCGCCATCCTGCTGGTCTCACTGCTTCCGATGGTGGTGGCTGAGGCTAATTAAGCTAGAGCAGAGCTTCATTAGTGCGGGGATGGAGCAAGGGACTTGATCATGCCCTTTGTGGCCTGGGCAGGTACCAGAAGAACCTGCTCTTCCACCGCTTCTGGTCGGTGGATGACAAGCAGCTGCACACCGAGTTCAGTGCCCTGCGCTCCATTGTGGTCACCAACTACGAAGAGACCATTAAGATGCCCATCAACGAGCCAGCACTCGGCAAGAAGAAATCCCAGATTCAGGTGAGCAGATGCCGGTGGTTGATCCATCAAGCTGCCATCACCTTGAGCGGGGCTTTGGTGAAGGTCAAGGGACGAAGGGGTCAGTGACTCGGAGCCGGCGCAGACGTGCTGTGCTAAGGTGGCTGCTGGAAAGCAACCCTGGCTCTGCTCAGGTCTGCCAAGAGCTGTCAAAGCCTGGGGGAGCCACGGGGACAGAGCCAGTTTACCCCGATCTCACCAATAGCGTATTTTTTTCATTTCATGGTGTCCCTGAGCTGATTTTGCTTTCATGTTTTAAGCCCACGCCCAGCCCTTTGCACGCTGTAGCTGTGCTGTCACTAACGCAGTGACATTGTTTCCCTGTAGGAGTATGTCGACTACTACGGAGGGGCCGGAGTCCAGCACATCGCGCTGAACACCTCTGACATCATCTCAGCAGTGAGTGCAGCCCTGGGCAGCTCCCTGCCCCAGCCCGTCCTGCCCCGGCACTGCTCTGCCTCTGCCCCGTTCCGCCAGGCAGAGTCCTCATCACAGGGCGGTGGTGGACTATGACCCCTGTTGGGGTACGAGGACATGGGCAGGCTGAGTGGGCTTTGTGCCGTGGTTGTCTTACAACCAGGATTAACTGCCCAGCGAGTCGCTGGAAAGGGACCTGCCTGCACCTGTGAGCTGCTGGCAGATGCCCGACCCTCCAGCTTAAAGCAATTGGGGTCTGCAGGGACCCCGATGGCACGTGCTGCCCTTGCGGGGTGGCTGGTGGGGAGCTCGGGCAGCCCGGGCTGCTGGGCTGAGCCACCATAGCACATCACCCGCCTTTGCCTGGGGCAGATGCTGGTCTGGATTGAGCCCAGCTGCTGTTGAGCACTTGGGTTTTGGACTCCTCTCCAGACCAAAGGGCCTCCAGAGGTATTGGGGGGTCAGGGTGGGATGAAGCATCCTTTCACGGTGGCCAACTCTCTGCATTGCCTGGAGAGGGCATCTTGGGCCCTCCCGTTCCTGGTGCCCAAAGAGAGAGGGTGGGACAGGCCAATGTCATGGGGAAGTATCGCTGCCTCCTGACACCGTCTGTCCCAGGCCATCCTCTTGGCAAAAACTGCTCCACAAATAAGCCCCAAGCCTGACCCACGCGGGGGTCTCCCCTGCCTTGCAGATCACCAACCTGAAGCAGCGGGGCATGCAGTTCATGGACGTGCCATCCAGCTACTACCAGATGCTGCGGGAGAGGCTGAAAACTGCCAAAATCAAAGTGAAGGAGAACATTGATAAGCTGGCGGTGAGTCAGACTGGCCTGAGAGGGAAAAGGTTTGCCCGGGGCTGGACCGGCTCCCCAAAGTGTTTTGCAGGGATGAGGGTGATGCAGAGGGATCCCCTTGCTCCTCTGTGGGTCTTCAAGCTGTCACCTTGTTTCTTTTCTCCAGGAACTGAAAATCCTGGTGGATTTTGATGAGAAAGGCTACTTGCTCCAGATCTTCACCAAACCAGTTCAAGACAGACCCACGGTCTTTCTGGAGATCATACAGCGGCATAACCACCAGGTTGGTTTGAGGATTTCACAACGATCTTGGCTTTGAGACCTCAGGGCCATCAAGTACTGTCACCCAGCCAGCTCTCAGTGCTGCTCTTTTCCAGTCGATTCCGAGCTGACAAACCCACTGCCCATCCCCATGGTCTGTAACATTGTCGTCTCTGCAGGGCTTCGGAGCTGGGAACTTCAAGTCTCTGTTTGAAGCAATAGAAATAGATCAAGACGCAAGAGGAAACCTGACCATCCTGGAGCCCAACGGGGAGACCAAGCGCATCTAAAGGATGGCAGAAAATGCCGCCCTCGCCCCTAACAAGCTGATTCACAAACGAACCAGGAAACAGCTGATGTTTTGGTAAATGGCTGAGACCTAAGTGTCATAAACCCAGGGAAGCTGCTGCCAAGCTGGAGATGTAAAAAGACTCAACACCTTTCCCGATCTAGCCCTAGCGTTGCCCTCCGGTGACTTCTTGGGAGAGGGAGTGTGGGAAATAGCAAACATGCTCTTAAAAAGCAGTTTAATCTGACCCAAACCACCGAATTCTCAAAGGGCATATTTAAGGCATGTGCCAAAGACACGCAGCTACGGAGGAAGACACAAGAAACAACTGGGAGTGCTTAAATTTAGTCTATCCAAAGTTTTCTGTTAATTTTAGCTACGCAGGAAGCTGGGAGAGGAAATCACGGAGGCGTTTGCCTCTCTCTGCATCTCATTTTGTAAGATTTTATTTTAATCGCTTTTAGACTCAATCTTGAATTTGAATTTGCTGAGATTAAACACATGGTTTTAGGGTAGCTACAACATTCTGTAATGAGACTTAATCGAATTTATGGATTTCAGCCTTCCCAAGGCAACAGAGTCTTGCTCTAATACCTGAATTAATGAAGGGTTGGGGTTTCTCCCGTGTTTCAAGAAGTAATTGTTGGCATTGGCAGCAATTCCTTGGCTCAGATCCCCTCTGGGCATCACTCTGGTGTTGTCACTGTCCTTTGCAAGGGGACTTTCCCCACTGACACAATAAAACCCTTTTCTGTCACAGCTTGAGTGCCTGATAAGTTAACGTGTCGGGGCTGGAGCCCCTCTACCCCATGTTCGCTGTGGCTGCAGGTCAAAGGCTCCCCGAGAAGCCCACAGACCTCAGTACACGACTTCTGAAGAACATCTCAGGGTCTTTGGTGTCCCCAGGTCTCCCCACTGTTGAACATCTGCCCTCCAAAGCCCCGGTGCACCCACTGCCGCTCCCCAAGTTTCCCAGCATCAAAGCTGCTCAAACCTCAAGCAGCCAAAGCCTCTGCCAAGCCCTCAGCTCAGGACAGGCTCCTCAGACACAAGTCCTTCCACCAGCCCAAGCCCCTGCCCCATCCGGCCACCCTCCAGGCTGAGCCCTGCTGCCTTCTGCCCCGCGCCAGCCCAAGGTTTGGCTGTCCTGGCATCCCCACCCCTTCAGCTGCCGTGGTCAGCTATAGAAGCCAAGAACTGAGCTGGGAAGCCACCTACAGCCCAGGCTCTCTCCTGTCTCTTCCATTTCCTCCTCCATCAGCCACTCCATTTGTCTCTGCTTCAGGTATCTCTTTTTCTAAAGCTCAGAGAAGCCGCTTTGACCACCACCACATTCACAGCAGCAGCAGCCCCCAGCGAGGGAGGGCGGGGGGCAGCGGCTGGCTCCAGGCTGTACTTTCAGCCGCACCAAATCGCAGCGGCTCCCCCCTCCTGTAAACCGCAGGTAACAATTAATTTCAGATTTGAATAAACTGATTTAAAAGAAAACCAAAGGGCCTCTGGCCCCAACAGCCTTACATCATCACCCGAACCAGCAACACTAACACCTCGCTTCATGGCTTAAGGGCTTTCACCACCATAAATAAAAAAAAAAAAAGAAAAGAAAAGAAAAGATGTGAAATCAAAAATCCAGGGCAGAGGCTGCAGGAGCAGGGACCCCTCACCTGCCCAGGCAGCACCACTGAGGTTGGACACGTTAGGGACACCCGGCACTGCGGCAGGGAGACCAGCGCCTGGCTGTGCTTCAGCTCTTAAGGGTTGTAAGGATTTTTACTACTAAGAAAATTTTCTTTAAGTTTATAAACTTACATCACTCACATATTTCTTTCATGCAATATAATGTTGCTTAAAGTAATTTCCTGCTCACCAGAATTAATATTTTCACTAAACTTTGCTGAAAATCAGTTCTTTGGACTGCTCTTTTTCTGGATCTGGTTCCTTGAGCTCTCACGGTTCCCAGCACAGGTCAGAGAGCAAAAAGCTGCCCTGGCTATACATTAAGCACAACATAATTTTTCTGTAAGAAAAGTCAGTATATTTATGGTTTGCTTTATAAAAGTTACTATAATACAATGGTACATAGTATTCAATTCACAAAAATATGAACAAATATATACAGCATGACACATCCACAACAAAAACACTTTCTTCAAAACAAGATACATACTGGTGACAGATTCTATATGCACAAAACATCCCTAAATTTATAAATTTGCTTAACGAAAGAAAAAGCAGAAATCCTAAATCTTCAAAGCAGAGTTGTTTTTTTAAGGAACTTGAAAAAAATAAGATTTTTTTTTTTTTTCATTTATTGCAAACCATTTTACCTACCTCCTTTTAAAGAAGGCCCTTTATTTTCACACTGTGAATTAAAACAACCTGTTTATAGAACCAGAAAACTGCAAGGATTGGGAGCCGGGTGTTCTTCCGTTTTGCTTTTAAAACTGCCCATTTGTTTTAGAGTGTCCGTTACGATGTGTTTCTTTTCACTTGGACAAATACTACAGTGGCAATTAAGGAGGAAACTCATAAAAACAAAACAAATATTAAATTGAAAAAATCCAGTTGCAAACTCACTTAAATACATTTTAGGTTGTCTATTAGACTGTACACATTTCCTCGCTTGAAATAAATAGATTTTGCACATTAGGTTTCAGACTGGAAGGGGGGGAAAGAAGAAGCCTTGACTTGGCAATTTTTTGTCTTCAGTTTCTTAATGCTTCTAATTCCATGTATTTATTTGACAAAAAACATATTTATACAGAATTCACATTATACAAAGCTTGACACAAGCTGTAAATGCCACCAGCTCCTTTGCTATACTTAGTCCTTCTTCCTCCCCATCTCCTCAACATGATTTAGAGCTGGAATCTGTTTAAAAAGAACTCCAAATTACAATAGTCACTTTTAATAAATTATTTACATGCTCTTGAAGTACAAAGAAATCAGCAAAAAAATTTCAACATGTTTCTACAAGAAACAGGGTTTGAAGAGAAGATTCTTGAGTTTGCCTATGTACAGAAGATGCTTTTTTTTTTAATATACTTCAAAATCCTTTTTTCCTTAAATTTTTATTTTGTACAGAAATGCACTGAAATGATCCCTGAAAAAGGTCACAAAAACCGGAACTGAAACTACTGTATACTTTGTTGGCGTTTAAAAACTTTTTTTTTCTTGTAGAAATAAGCTGCTTTATACAATATAAATATCTGCAAGATGAGCCCCTTCCCCTCCCAGACCCCCGGTAGTCACAGACCACTTATTGGGACCAACCTGGAATCGCAAACAGGGGTGTGAACCGAACGGATAAATGAAGGTGTTGGGCAGCAGCAGGTGGGATTTGCAAGCACAGAGCGCGCTTCCTAGAAATGCCAGCTGCAGAGGCATCTGCACCCTGAACTCAAGCCAGCTTCTTCATGTTGGGAAACTAAAAATTTAAGTTTCCAAAATTTTGCACTATTCTAGGGTCATTTCACCTAGCGAGATACTGAAGCGAGATACAATTTTGCAGGGAGCACAGTCAATCTCTCTCTCTCTTTTGTTTTAGGTTTCAATGTAAGTGAAAATAAATTGGGGATAGGCTTTTCAGCGAACAAAACGACTTCAGTAAATCTCTCTGTAAAGGAGCACACGCTGGTAAGGTGTTTTTTAGCCCTTGCCACTATTTCCATGGGTTGCCAGGGCGCCTGTGCTGACCATGGGAGGCGAACGCTGGGTCCGATCCAGGCTGGCGTGTGAACCGCACACCTTCTGCCTTTCTCCTCTCATCTCGCCCCTTTCTAAGCACAAGCCAAAGTACCCAGGAGGGATTAGAAAGGCATCTCCACAGGGCTGCCTTCCAAAACCACGTCTGTGGCTGGGGGGGGCCCCCGCCCCCCCCAGCCTTCCAAACCACGTCTGTGGCTGCAGGGCTCCCCTGCCCCGATCAGACCCCGACGGCTTGACAGGGCAGCCACAGGCAAGGCAACCACAGGCAACTGCGGCAGCTCATGGAAATCACTGAACCAGGCTTATAACCCTCACCATAAAATGCGCTGTTTTGAGGGATGGGGCAGCTCTGCAGCCTGAGACAGAAGCTGCACGGGGAGGACTCTGCAAACCAAGATTTATGGGGAAGAAAAAAGAAGCCTCAGGTTTGGCTTTGAGACCAGACTAATGCGATTTTTCAGAAGTGCTGTGGGTCCAACAGCTCCGTTTCCTCTTGCAGGGCTACTGGGAGCTCAGCTCTTCCAAAAACTCACGTTATTTGTCTGGGATCCTAAAAAGGGATGGGTTACGGGCAGTTTCAGAAGTACCCAAGTGATTTAGGTGCTCATGGTCTTTGGCACCCAAATCCCTTTGGTGCTCCTAAAAACTCAGTGAAGGAACCCAACCTGTAGGTCTTGTTTCAGAAGACCATGACCTGCCTCCCCACCTCTCTTCAACAAAGATTAAGGCAAACTGCAGGGGCTAATCCCATCCAGAGCACGCAGATACACTGGGAAATACAAAACTGTCAGCAGGTACTTAGGGGCTGGGCCATTTGGGGTGTCTTTGCCCCCAACAAAACCACCGTTAATGCACTGGTTTGATGAACCAGAGAGGAAGAAGGCCAAGGATCTCGGCAGAACTACCACATGCAGGGGCTTCAGTTCTGAGACACAGGAAACTTCTGTGCATTTCCAGAGCTTTGAAAGTAAAAGGCCAAGCTGTAGTGATGCCAACTGGAGCGTCAACACAACAAGATGAACCTTATTTTAAAAAAAATAAAATAAATTGAGCAGCTGGTTTAACTCCCAAATGCTCCTGCCATCGCTGCAGTTAAAACCAACGTTCAATGACAGAAACTAGTTGTGCTTCTCATAATTTTAGGGTCTGGATCACCATTACCCAATTGCTGGAGAGATTTATAAAGAAGGGGGGAAACGACAAAACCAAACCAAAACAAAAACAGAGATGAGACTATGGACTGTCCAATCTCAGCGACAATTTCCTCGCCCTCAGACAGAAATAAAGGCGGTA